GAAAATATATAGAGGTAATAGAGTAATATAACAAAGTTGCAAGGTACAAAGTTAGCAAACAAAAATCAGCTGGATTTCTATAAAGCAGCAATAAGAAATCTGAAAGAAAAATTAGGGAAATAATTCCATTTATAACATCATCAAAGAGAATAAACTATACAGTAATAAATTTAATCAGGAATGTGAAGGACTCATACAATAAAAACTATTAAACCCTAATTAAAGAGATTAAAGAAAACTTAAATAAGTGAAAAGATGTTCCACGTTCCATGTTCGGGATTGGAACACTTTATATAATCAATACTACCCAAAGAAATCTATAGGTTCAGCATAATCCTGATCAAAATCCCAACAGCATTCTTTATAGAAAAAGAAAAGCTAATCCTCAACCTTACGTGGAAAGACAAGAGGTGCTGGATAGCTAAAAGAACAAGATTAGAGGACTCACACTTCCTGGCATTGTAGGATAAGCACTGGACTGCTAACTGCAAGGTTGACAGTTCAAACCCACCAGGTACTCCTAGAAACCCTGTATAGATCGTTATGTGTTGGAACTGACTTGACAGCACTTAACCATGACAACATATAGCCATAATAATCAAAACAGCCTGATACTGGTACTGGTGTTAATAATAGAACATGTAGAACAATGGAATAGAATTGAGAATCCACAAAAATAAACCTACACATCTATGATCAACTGATTTTCAAAAAGCACGCTGTTTATTCGAGGGGTTAAAAAGAGCCACTTCAATAAATCGTGCTGGGAAAGGTGAATTTCCACATGCAGAAAAATAAAACGGGATCCTTGCCCCATACCATAAACAAAAACAAATTCAAAATGAATTAAGCATGTAAATATACCAACCAAAACGAGAAAATTCTAAGAATAAGCAGGGACAATGCTGTCAGGTCTAGCTTTCAACAATGGATTAACTAATATAGTACTAAAAGTACAAAGAGCAAAAGACAAAATAAACAAATGGGACCTCATGAAAATTAAAAGCTTTTATTCATCAAAAGACTTTACCAAAAATAATCCCAAAAGATACATCAATGACTGGGAGAGTATCTTTGGAAACTATATATTCAAAAAGAAAGTAATAACCCAAAAGACAAATAACTCAATTATAAAACCCCAAAATAAAAATTTCACTAAAGAGGACTTCCAAATGGTCAGAAAACACATCAAAATATACTCAGCCTCATTACCCATCAGAGAGATGCACATAAAAACTATAATGAGATAGCATTTTACTCCCATTAGGATGGCTAAGACACAAAACCCAGAAAATAACAAATGATGGAGGAGGTGAAGGAAAATTGGAACCCTTACTCCCCTGGAGAACCTTTCTTCTGCCAAAATTTGTATCATTCATGGGCCATACAAAATTATCAACTTAAAATTTTTTGTTATTGCTAGTTGCCATCGAGTTGGTACCAACTGATAGTGACCCTATTCACAACAGACCAAAACACTGTCTAGTCCTGTGCCAACCTCAACCTAAGTTTGAGCCCAATGCTGCTGCCACTGTGTGTGACTTAAATATTAGCCTGCTATATTTTGGTCAACAATTTAATGAACTCACACCTAACGTGATGACTAGAATTGCCACTGTTTGGGTAAGGCCAGACCAAATGATTTCTCCAGCCTTATACAGCTCGTAGGCTAGACATTCTCCATCCCCCACCCCTTACCCATTGCTGCTGGGAATGCAAAAGATCTACCACACAAGAACAAATTTTGCATGAGAGCACTATCATAAAAGGTCAAGGAAAGGTTTTCACACAATAAGAAACATTCTATGATGGTTACCAGGTGTAGGAGGGGAAAGTAAGCAAAAATTATGATGGCAAAGGAAGACATTGCTAGGAATACAAGAGTTACAGGCAGCAGAGGTAAATACGATCACATCTATTATCTTGCAATAAGAGTATAAAAAAGGAGTGGATACATAGAAAAACATGCAAGTGGAACAGGTATGTGAAGGAGAATGGGGCTATACCCACAAATATGTTTAGGTTTGACAGAGTTTATTTCTACATATATATGTACCTCTGCTATAAATACAAGTAGGAGCTCTGGTATAGTGTAGTAGTTTTGAGTTGGACAGCTAACACCAAGGTCACCAGTTCGGATATAGCCAGAAGACTTGAAAGCAGAGAGTAAGAACACTGGTGTACACGTGTCCACTGCAGTATTAGTCATAATACCCAAAAGGTAGAAACAACCTAAACGCCCAACAACAGATGAATGAATAAATAAAATGCAATACACGCACACACACACGCACACACACACACACAGAGGAATATTATTCAGCCAATAGGAGAAATGCAGTCTTGATAAATGCTACAATATAGATGGAATTGGAAGACATTATGCTGAGTGAAATAAGTCTATCACAAGAGGCCAAATAGTGTATAAAAACTCACTTGTATAAAAAGATGAGAAAAGGCCAATGTATTAAGTATAAAGTTTATTACTGGTTACTATGGATAGGGAAGGGGAAATGAAGAGGTTAATAGTGATGGAAATATCATACTGATAAAGGGTAAAACCACATAGACGATATTATAAGTTGTACACCTGTAAAAAACTGAATTGGCAAAAGCTGTGAGATAGACGTATTTTAACAACAAAAAACCAAACAGTAGCTACTGAAGTTTCTTGCTATTGTTGTTGTTGTCAGGTGCCATTGAGTCAGTACAGACTCATAGCAACCCTATGCACAACAGAATGAAACACTGCCCAGTCCTGGGTCAACTTCACAATTGTTGCTACACTTGAGCTCACTGATGCTGCCACACTACCAACCTGTCTCACTGGGGTCTTCTTCTTTTTCTCTGACCTTCCACCTTTCCAAACATGATTATCTTTCTCCAGTGACTGGCCCCTCCTGACAATATGTCTGAAGCATGAGAGATGAACTCTGGCTGTCCTGGCTTCCAAGGAGCACTCTGGCTGAACTCCTTCCAAGACAGATCTGTTGGTTCTTTTGGCAACCCATGGTACTTTCAATATTCTCCTCCAACACCATAACTTAACTGCGTCAATTCTTCTACGGTCTTCCTTATTCACTGAACAGTTTTTGCATGCATGTGAGATTACTGAAAATACCATGGCTTGGGTCAGGTGCACCTTAGTCCTCACGCTGACATCTTTGCTCTTCAACACTTTAAAAACCTCTTGTGCAGCAGATTTGCCCAATGCAATTATGTCTTTGGATTTCTTGACTGCTGCTTCCATGAATGTTGATGGTTGATCAAAGCAAAATAAAGTCTTTAACAACTTCAATCTTTTCTCCATTGATAAGAGTGTTGTTTACTGGTCCAGTGGTGAGGATTTTTTTTTTTTTTTACATTGAGATGTAATCCATAATGAAGGTTGTGGCCTTTGATCCTCATCAGTAAGTATTTTAAGTCTTCTTTACTTTCAGCAAGCAAGGTTGTATTATCTGCATATCACAGGTTGTTAATGAGTCTTTCTCCAATCCTGATGCCATGTTTTTCTTCATATATCCCAGTTTCTCAGATTATTTGCTCAGCATACAGATTGAATAAGTATGGTGAAAGAATACAACCCTGTCGCACACCTTTGCTAATTTTAAACCACTCAATGTCTCCATGTTCTATTCTAACAAATGCCTATTGGTTTATGTACAGAATCCTCATAAGCACAATTAAGTGTTCAGGAATACTTGTAGTTTGCAATGTTGTCCATAGCTTGTCATGATCCTCATAATCGAAAGCCTTTGTATAGTCAATAAAGCACAAGTAAACGTCTTTCTAGTATTCTCTGCTTTCAGCCAAGATCCATCTGGCATCAGCAATGATATCCCTCATTCCATGTCCTCTTCTCAATCCAGCTGGAACCACTGGGAAGTTCTCTGTCAGTGTATGCTTGCAGCCGTTTCTGTATCATCTTTAATAAAACTTTACTCGCACAGGATATCAATGACAGGAGGCTGCTTATGTAAAACAAAAATCCTCATGGGATTTGATTCTTGGTCTAGAAGTTTAAGGTCATAGTTTCATGGGACACCCCACTAATTGGCCTAATAAGATGTTTAGGGTATCTGCCACCTAGTTTGTTGCATAGTACTTGGGGTCTTAAAAGCTTGCAAGTAAACCATTCAAGGCACAATAGGTCTCTATTCACTTGGAGCAACAGTCAGGAATAGGAAGATGATATGGAAGGTGTGGCCAAATGACTCCATAAACAAGTGCCTCTTTTGTCATGAGACCAGAAAAACTTGAGGGCGCTCAGTTACTATTAATAAACATTTTGATCAAAGACCTATAGCAGGATCCTGATCAAAAGGGGAAATATGTAAAACAGAATTTCAAATTCTCATGGACTCTATAGACACACTGGTACTAAGAAGGCTAGACACACCTCTGAAACTACTGCCCTGAGATAATCTTTCAAACTTACACCAAAAGCATCTCTTGAAGTCTTTTTAAAACTAAACCATAATAATCTAAAGTAGTTTATAAAAAGATCTGCTTCCAAAATTTGCTCTTTTAAGAAATATCTATAATAACAACATACAGGAACAAAGTGACAACAGCAAATTTAAAAATTAGAAAGAAACCTTAGGGACCACCGAGTTTGTCAACAAGAAGGGAACAACTTGGAAAAGGAGCGTGGGAATGGTTACACAAGTTAAAAGAATGTAATTAAAGTCATTAAGTGGTAAAACTTAACTGAATTGGTACAAATTTTTCTGAGTATATTCTCAACAAAAATAATATTAAGAAGGGGATTAACTTTCCAACAAAATGTTATATTAATAACACTTGATTCAGTTTAGTCAGAACTACAGTATTTGGCACATGAGTAATACTCAAGTGAATAAACTAGACAAATTAATTCCCCTCAATATAATTTAGTGTCTAAAAATCATGTGATAATTCTATAGTTATATTTGTAGAGTTTTTAATAATATTAACCATTCTATTAGAAAAATTCAGATACTGAAATAAAAGTGGCTTACCTTGCAAATACCCTATCTTTATTTGCCTTTTCTTTGCCATACTGTACTGACTGGACTTCGGTTCTCCCACTGAAATACATAAATATGCACAATAATGAAGCCCTAAAGAGAACTAAAAGATAAAATGACAACATACAATATCAGATTAAAATTTCATGAGACAAGGTATTTCTAGCAAAGAAAAAAAAAGCAGAGGATAAGAAAAACTGGATTATGTGTCAGTTTTACCTGAATGAAAAGTTATAGTTTCTCCATTTTGACAAAGCCACTTTGTCCCACACTTCATATTCCTACCTTGCTATGCCCTGAATACTCCCTCTGAACTCAGACATGGGCTCTATGGACTAGCTCTTCTAAATCCTGCCAGTCCTGTTTGCCACCCCAACCATAGGCCTGGATTTTTGCTACTGTTTCCACTACTCCTTAATGTTATGGTCTTAAGTGCCACCGAACTGGTTCTGACTCATAGTGACCCTGTATAAGGTTTCTGAGGAGTAGCAAATGAATTTGAACTAATGACCTTGCAGTTCAACTTGACCTTGAGGTTCAGTGCTCATCCTACAGCTCCATACTTGTTATATGCCGTGGAGTCGGTTCTGACTTATAGCGAACCTGTACTGGGTTTCCGAAGCTATAAATCTTTACAGGAGCAGAACGCCTTATCTTTCTCCTGTGGAACAGCTGGTAGTTTCGAACTGCTGTTCCTGAAGTTCACAGCCCGAATCGTAATCACTACCCTACCAGAGCTCTAGGACTCCTTAATACAGGGGCTGAAACAATGGGGATCTTGTGAAAGCTTGTCCTCCTTGAGTGACAATGAACACAGATATGAAGAATGGTTCCACCCTAACTTCCTCCATGTCCACATAGGCCACTCCAGATTTTTGCATATAGGAAGGATCTGAAAACTATGTTTGGAGTCTGGGTATTGTATGAAACAGTAATTCTTTTAAAGCTGGTTTATCTAGAAGGCACAATGTTAATATAGAGGAGCTGGTCTTCTGTAGAACCCCATTGTGCTCAAACCAATTCTGACCTTTTATTCTAACCGTTGTTCTCAGAGGATTTCTTAAATAAAGTATAACATTATATAAATCTGAATCAGTATAAATTTCTAGTATATCAAATACAGCCAAAAATAAATATATCTAACGCATACAAGGGAGTGCAGTGACTCCATATGATAAACACTGGACTGTAAACCACAAGGTCTGTAGTTTGATCCCGCCAGCTGCTCTACAGGAGAAAGATGAGGCTTTCTGCTTCCCTGAAGATTTAAAGCCTTGGAAACTCTATACAGGGTCGCTATGACCTGGAACTAATTCAACGGCACTTAACAGCAATACATAAAAAGCAGGCAAACATATATTTCCAAAGCAAATTTAAAACCATCTTCCATCGGCAAATGTGACTACAATGGCATCCTTATTAGATTTCAACAGAAAAGTCAGTACCATTACAAAACTTTGAGAAGTTGAAATTTCTTTAAAAATGTATTTCCTCTAAGAAGCATAAACTATACTTGCAATTACTGGGAACAAGGTAACAGATTAAAGTTCATCACTGCTTTGTTCTTTCACATTAACACAATGATTTTAATCTCCTGGCTATTTTGGAATAGAAATAAGGGTATTGTTGTAGGAGGACGCTGGTTAAAGGAACTAAAAGTTTTCTGTTATCCCAGTATTATTGTGCAATTTAAATAATTTTTCAACAGTTTAAGCATAACAATAGTTCTAGTATTCACAACCACTGATGATTAGGAGAAGGAAGAGTTTATTTAGTGCATACCCACTAGATTTAGGACTCTGTCCATCTAAACATCTGCCATCACTACAGATGCTAGCATACTAAAATAAGGGAATATAAACAACTTCATGCCATAAATTTCACATTTACAAGACTATTAGTAATCCTGATGATTAAAAAAGAGCAAATAATCAACAGTGAAAATGTATAATAAACATTATGTACTTTGAAAACAGGTCCATAGTATGTAGTCTATAAATGTAAAACTACCTATGTACATACTCAAAATGGAAAGAGATCACTCTCTAAAATTAGGAAGTAGGTTAGATTATCATGTGCAATTTTGAGAGGAATACACAAACACGTTGAGAAAATAAATCGCCAGCAAAGCATATAAGAGAAAACATAATTAGTGATTTTCATATATTTCCTAAAAGTTCTTAAGAACTAAAATATAAAACTTTTATAATAATAAACACACATGATTTACTTATAAATACCAATTTAGATGATGTACATAGAAACATATATAAGAACCAATTTATATACACCAATATTAATTTATTATGAACTACATTAAGACCTAGACATACTGGCACATTTTCTGCTACAAATTCCATTTTCTGAGTTCTTTTCCAGGTTTCAGGTTGGCTTTCTGTTAGGTTCTGTAGAAGGCACAGGTGGGAATTCAGAAAGTAAACAAGTGGCAAAAGCAGGAACATAGCAGATGTTTATAGTTGCTGAAGTGGTAGTAGAAACACCGCTATCAGTGAGAACAGAACCTTATTTTGGTCATGTCACTGGCCGATCCAGAAATGACTATGAGATGCATAACAATTTCGAATTCTTACAGACTCCAGGCTTTCTGTAATCACAGAGGGTGGATGAACCTTGGAAACTACTGCCCTGAGATAATCTCTTAACCTTCAACTAAAAATATCCCCTGAAGTCTTTTCCAAACCAACAATGGCTTAGCTTAATTAATAAAAAAATGTCTGTCTTGAGCATTATGTTCTTCTAAGGTCTATATGGAATCAAACTGACCATAGCAACTCAAAAGATTAGCTAGGAACCTATGGGGCAGTGAATTTATATGATGGGGTAGGGACAATTCAGAAAAGGATGGTAAGTGTGGTTGAGCAACTTGAACATAATGTCACTAATTTCTAAATGTGGAAACAAGTCATTTTGTTATGTTCTGTTTTGTATATTCTCAATAATAATTAAAAAATAAACCAGCCAAACAACAACAATGGACTACAATGGTGGTTCTAACTAGTCTAATAGTAGCAGATCAACTGGTGGGTTCAAACTGTCAATCTTGCCCCAAACAGCTAAGTGCTACAGATGTTATATCCCCTGAGGTTTGTGTACTTAACAAGGTTTACTTGCTGCCTTTAGACTTGAATGGGATTTGAATAAGTAATCTTCTTAGGTCACGTGTTGTTTTTTTCCTTGTTGTTGAGTGCTGTCCAGTTGGTTCTGACTTAGCGACTCTGTATAGGGTTTCCCATGAGCGGCTAGTGAGTTTGAACTGCCGACCTTGTGGTTTAAACTGACCTTGTGGTCCAGAGCTTTATTTAACAGCACCACACCAGGACTTGGTATGAAAGGGGTGGCCCATAAATTACATTAACCCTGAAAAGTTTAATTTGTTAATCAAAATGCTTAAAAATATTTAACCAAACCTGATACATTTCTAGCAAGACTGGTCAGGAAAAAAAAACAACCGAACAGTGAAAATACAAACAACCAATATAAAAACTGAGACATGACATCACCACAGATTTTAGCAATAATAAAATAAGGGTATATTAGCTCTGGTAGCGTAGTGGTTACAAATTGGGCAGCTAATCTCACAGTCAGCAGTTCAAAACTACCAGCTGTTCCGCGGGAGAAAGATGAGGCTTTCTGCTCCTGTAAAGATTTACAGACTCGGAAACCCTGTACAGGGTCGCTATGACTTGGAACCGACTCCACGGCACATAACAACAACATGAACTTCATGATATAAATTTGACAATTTAGGTACAATGATACTACCAAAACTTACTCAAGAATAAGGAAAAAGGAAATTGAAAGTATAGTTCAAAATCTATCTAGAAAAAATCCCCCAAAATTCCTGGTCCACAGGGTTCATAAATCCATTCAAGCAATTTAAAGAAGAAATAAAACCATTAATGTACAAACTCTTCCAGAAAATTGAAAACGTATGAATACTTTCAAAGTCTTTCTATGAGATGAGTGAGCATTACTACCTACTACCAAAACCTGACAATGCCATCTGGAAAAAAGCAAACTATAGAATAACCTCAGGAACATAAGTACAAAAGTATAAATAAAATTTTAGTAAACCAAATAAAAATTCATAAAAGGATAATATCATGACCAAGTGGGGGGTTTATTCCATAAAAGCAGGATGGCTTAATACTCTAAACTCAATCATCATAATTGATGATATTACCAACTGGAAAAAAAAAGACAAAACTACAAGGTCAACTCAGTAGTTGCAGAAAAATCATGACAAAAACCAATACCAATTGTAATAAAAACTTTCAGCAAATGAGACAGAGGCACCTTCCTCAATATTACATAGAATACTTTTGACTAGCCTACCACTAGTATCTTCTTCTTCTTTGATGAAGATCAAAGAGCACAGCCTTACGTATGGATTATAACTCAATGTAAAGAAAACAAAAATCCTCACCACTGGACCAATAAACATCATTCTTATCAATGGAGAAGAGATTGAGGTTGTCAAGGACTTCATTCTTCTTGGATCAACTATCA